CAGCGTGCCAGACACAGATACCGGCTTCTCCCTGAATTCACAACGACCCCCACACAGATACTGACTCCTTCCTGAATACCCTGCTGACGCCCTGTGGCGGAAACTTCCTCAGTTCATGTCCCCACCCCTCACCCAACCGCAGTATAAAAATAAGCCCCCCTCCCTGTGGGCGCGAATCCACTGGCCCTGTCTTTGGGGTCCGTGGGTTGCCCGGGGACACAGAATAAAACCTTTCCTTTTCTTTCTTTTCTGATTGACTCAGTTCTCTTTATTTCCTACATCACCTTCCTGAGCCACCTAACGGTCCCCAAGCTCTGCACTTTGACATGCAGCCTGGGAGGCCAATGGGCCCAGCCCAGGCGGTGGAGGCTGCTCCTCCACCTGGTGGACCACCCACCCCGAGTACTGGAGGCCAGCAGAGGGCGGACAGCAGCATGTGCCCAGCTCACGGAGAGGGCGGACAGCAGCATGTGCCCAGCTCACGGAGAAACCCTATTCGTGAATACATTCTAGTCAAGTGGAGGTCACTGGGCGCTCCTGGCCTATTTGAGGTGAATTCCACTAAAATGCATGAAAGCGGGACATTATGTGGGATCACACAGAAGAGCAGTAAGCCCCCTGTCCTCCCAGCCTCACAGCCAGGCTGGTTCCCCTGGAAGATCCTCTCCCTTGGTCACTGTCACAAAACCACCAGTGATCTGGGAAGAGTAAGGTTTCTGGCCACATGACCACTGCCCCACCGCACAGGTGCCTCTGTGGACCAGCATAGGGTGCGTGCACCCCCTGGTGGCCACAGGGTGAATTCCAGGTGGGGTGCTGAGCACCTACTCTGTGTGAGGCCCAAGACTGGGGTAGGTGTGCAGGGTAGAAGGTAAGAAGGCGGACATGAGGGGCGCACGGCTTGAGGAGAGAGAACCAGTTAAGTGACAGATACAAGGCATAAGCCACAGGGAAAGGGGAGAGAGGCTCCCACAGGTGCCCCAGCCAGCCTGAGTGCCCAGGGTCCAGAGCAGGAGGGACAGAACGAGCAGCTGTCTGAACATCTGGGCTGAGCGGGCATGGAGACAATCAACTTCCTCACCGCTAGGTGACAATGGACAGGACACCCAGGACTCAGAGCAGCTGGCACCGGCCTGAACTGCCGGGGGCCAGGGTCAGGGCAGCGGTCCAGTTCCCCTCCCTCTGCCCGGGCCCCGGGGAATCCTGTCCCCTCCTGGCACAACCCAGGGGAGGTGGGCGGCTGCAGAGGTTGGCAGAGGGACACACTCACCTGCTCTGTCTACAATCTCGTAATCCAGGTCGACGTCGCCCGCCTTCACTCCTGGGCAGCCTCCCCAGTCCCCCTCCAGGATTTCTGAGAAGCCACTTCGCGGAGGAAGGGGAGGATGGCTTGGGCTCACACGTGGTATTTTGTGGAAGAGCCACACTCAAGGGGCCAAAGAGTTGCATGTGGCTTGCGAGCTGCAGTTTGCCGACGACGGTGCTAGTATAATGCAAAATGCACAATCAATTTACATTTATTTTTAAATAATATTGTACTGATTTTTAGAGAATTAAGGCAAAGAAGCATCTGTATGACAGTGAAACCTCGATCATTAGCCTTGTGCACATCCCGTTCGTTCTGGGGATCTAGCCTACTGCCAGGCCCTTTTCCCCACTGGCAACCCAAGGCCCAACACTAGGTTGCAATCCAGGCTTTATATCGGACACTTATTTTGTGGGGAAGCAAGTCTGTGTACGTGCGAGCACCTGGGTGTTTACTAAAATCTTTATGCTTAGTCTTTAGATGTCCTTTGTTAAAGGACGCTGCAGATACATGTGTGTTCTCAAGGATGCTTACCCTACTGATAGTATCTAATAGTTAATTTTGATTCAAGCTGTTGTTACAATAAAAGCCTAAGGAGGCAGGCGAAGGGGGCTGTTTGGTTCTGATATCTAGGCAGTCCCTTAGCCCTTTCTATCACAAAAAAATGTGTCAGAGTAATCATTCATCCATCACTTAGAGTCTGCTGTTCAGCCCTGGCATTGTTTAAGTAAACTTGGAAAATCTTCCTCATTTCTGTAAACGAAGATGTTCCCAGCAGTTCAGTATCAGTTTAGACTTCCCCAGTTTTTGTGAGAATTAAAAGAGAAAATGCTCAAAAAGTCATCTCTGGAACCCTGGCCCAGGCAAGTACCACGTTTGTAACTTTTATTGATCCTCACAGTCCTAGCTAAGTCCTGTTATCAGGGTCATGTCCACATTTAACCAACTGAGGAGCAGGGAGCTGTAGTGAGTCTCCTGGAGATTCCAGGTTGGAGACCCAACACTGAGACCTTAGTGCCCACAGTACTGCCTCCCTGCTGGTGGGTTAGCGGGTTCAGAAAGGCCCCAGTTCTTTCTCAAAAGCCCTTACACACAAAGGTGCTTGTTGGCACTGGGGAACTGAAGGGTTCCTGTCCTGAGTTTTTCTAAAGTTGCTCTTCTGAAGGTGGTGAAGAATGTTAGTAGTGCCGGTTAAAAGTAAAAGTGTTCACTGCATTGTGCATAGATTTAAAAACTAAAAAATTTCTAGCTGGTGTTGCTCAGTGGTTAAGCATGGGCGCACGCACAAAGATGTCCCCCATTCTATTTTTCATCAGGGCACATGCCTGAGTTGCAGGGTCCTTTCCAGACCAGCAGCAGCGTGAAGGAGGTAGCCCATCAATGATTCTCTCTCATTATTGATGATTCTCTCTCTCTTTCTCCCTCTCCCTTCCTCTCTGAAATCAATAAAAAATATTTTTAAAATCTCTAAAAAAATATATTTTTAAAAGGTAAAAATTATTAAAACACTTATACAAATACAAAAATTTATTTCCTAAATCAAAAAGGCAAAAAATGAGTGAAATTCTAACATTCATATTTGTTATCCCATTGTCTTTTTGTTAAAGAAAACTGCCAAAACTCATAAACAGTAGGCAGAACATATGATCAGAGGTTTTAAGACAGATATAGGCACAGTAAATATACATCTGAGAAAAGACTCACCATAAATTTCTAGAAAAAATACAACCAAACAGTGAGGTAGGTACAATTAGTTAAGGTTTATTTTATTTATTTTAAAAAAACAATCTTGCTTCGTGCCCACCCAGGGACACCAAAAAAGAAAACAAAAACAAAAACAAAACAAAACCAAAAAAAAACCACAATCTTACCCTGACCGGTTTGGCTCGGTGGCTAGAACATCGGCCTGTGGACTGGGGAGTCCCGGGTTCGATTCCGGTCAGGGGCATGTGCCTTAGCTGCAGGCACATCTATAATGGGGGGTGTGAAGGAGGCAGCTGATGGATGTTTCTCTGAAACAAACCAAAAAAAACCCCCAATCTTACCCTGACCAGTTTGGCTCGGTGGCTGGAGCTACGGCCTGTGGACTGGGGAGTCCAGGTTCGATTCCAGTCAGGGGCATGTGCCTTGGGTACAGGCACGTCTCCAATGAGGGGTGTGAAGGAGGCAGCTGATGGATGTTTCTCTCTCATGGATGTTTCTAGCTCTCTGTCCCTCTCCCTTCCTCTCTGTGAAAAATCAATAAAATATATATTTTTTTAAAAAACAATCTTTATTACTTATTAGCATACCATAGAGCTCGGCTATTGGGTGAGTCACTCCATTCTTAGTGAGACATGCTCATAGACAATTATGTTTTTTGTTTTTAAACATATTTCCTTATTGATTTCGGAGAGGAAGTGAGAGGGAGAGAGAATCATTGATCGCACCTCTTGCACGCCCACTACTGGGGATTCAACCCCAAACCCATACATGTGCCCTTGGCCGGAATCGAATCAGGGACCCTTTAGTTCACAGACTGACGCTCAATCCACTGTTCCAAACTGGCTACGGAAAGGTTTAGTTTTTATTTTCAAAGAATAGTTTATTAATTTTTAGAGAGAGAAGGGAGGGAGAGAAACATTGATGGAGAGTGCCATATTGGCCAGTGACCTCCTGCACACCCACTTCTGTGGATCCAGCCCACAACACAGGCACATATCCCCGCTGGCAATCAAATCCACAACCCTGTGCTGCACAAGATAGACAAGTACTGACCCACACCGGCCCCGGTGGTATAGTCCATTTAGATAACAATTTGCAAACCTCAGTAAATTAAAACATTCATCTACTCAAAAACCAGATTATGCACTGAAATTTTGACAAAGGTAAATAACAGTTATATACATACAAGGAATTATACAAAAATGTTTGTACTAGCTGTATTAGAAATGACCAAATATTTATTAAAATGGACAAATTGATGGTGATATATGATAAGAATATCAGAAAAAAAGATGAGTTACTAGTGTAACTTTAATAAATCTCCAAGTATTCATGAAACATAAACTAAAGCAGAAAAATATTTACAACAATAAAGTTCTCTATGAAAATGGACTGTAAATCCATGGTTACTAGATAAGCTGTGAAGAACAGGGACAGATTAAAAGAGGTCATTATGCAATTACACGGAGACAGATATGGTCAGCATTATTAGATAAGCTAAGAACAGGGACAGATTAAAAGAGGTCATTATGCAATTACACGGAGACAGATATGGTCAGCATTATGACTATAAGGATGGTGGCAGTTTCATGCACATGTCAAGATTTATGAAACACTATAACACATGTAATTTACACATTATACCCATTAAAAATGGTTCAATGGTATTCTGGAAGAACAGGTTTGGCAACTCTATAGTCAATCCCTTACTTTTGCGCTCTGGGTGAGAGTCTCATCTCAGTGACAGAAAATGTAACAATGAAGAACTTTCACCCAAACCCAAAAGCCACATTCCTGGACTAAAGAAAGCTGTTGTCTCCATCTTTCTTTTGATGCCACCACCACAATGGCTCTGATGGAAACTTCTGAGAAACTACAGGAGCCACAAAACATCTTGATTATAATCAATGACAATGACTGCTCCACAGAAGATAAACATGCCTGGAGTCCCTAAGATCTGTGTCCACACAGCTCTTGTACTCTTTTCCTCAAAATAATTCCTGGATGCACAGTTAGATGAGGACCATTCCATCTAAATGGGTGCAGTCTCATCCAACAATTAGGTCAGTGTTTCTGTAGTGAAACCGTTTCCCATGAATGCGATTGTCCTCAAACCAGTGACCATCACCTGTGAAATTGTAGGCATTCGGGCACATGGCCCTCTGCAAGACCTGGGCCAGAGATTCACTTTACACGTATTAGCATCGCTTGCAAACAAGAAAAAAAACTCATGCTCCCAGACATACTTGAGGTTGTCCCAGCTATCCCCTCTTCGGAGTGATCTCTGTGTCTCAAAGCATCCATCTTCACATGAGGAGTAGAGTGTCCACAGTGTTTCCTAGGAAAATATGGGCAGCAGTGTAAATTTGCCAAAAACTGCTGAGCTAATTTCTGCACCATACTGTTCCCCCAAGAAAAAAATGTTTGAGAGCCCATAAAAGTTTTTCACCTCATCATGCTTGGAAAGCCCAGATCTCCTTATAAACTAATCTATAGAGTAAATAGAGAACACCCAAGATTAAAGAAGTCTTAGGAAAACGCCTTCATTATTTTATAAGCCAAAGAACATGAGACTGGCAGATCTTCCATTGATGACTTAGGCACACAATAAACTCATCATTACCATCTAGAGAAAGTATGTCCCTGAAAATGGCAGTTCTTCTGCAACATTATGTTTATGGAGCCAACCGTAATGAGTCCTATGTGGCAACGCATGACAGGGAAAGAAGAAAGAAATAAGGGCTCAGGGATTCCTCATTTCTGTCAACAAATTAGACAACAGACTTAACTTCCCTGGGCACATGAGGATGGTGATTGATGCCATCTGTAGAGACCTTATAGGCGGTTGAGGGGAAATACCTTCAGCAATAGAAATATGCAGTGACACAGATCTGGCAGGACATCTCTGTATGTTAGAACGTGCAACATAATTACATAGTGTTCCAACATAAAATCACAGAAACACAATAGCAAAAACACTTAATGGGAACTTTACAGAATATAGGTGATTAAATGTATGAGATACAATTCAGAAAAATGAGGATTCACAAATTTTCTGGTAGTATTTTTAAGTCCTAAATAAGAAACTACATTTCCTACACATCTAAAAAATTTCTCACATTTGTAATTTTATGCGGAGGACGAATTTAGAAATGTGGCTGAGAGATTCCTCATATTAATTGCACTCATTAGAGTTTTCTCCATTGTGAACTCTCTGATGATATAGGAGACCACTTCTGCCTTTATAAGATTTCCCACATTCACTACATTTATAAGGCTTTTCTCCTGTATGAACTCTCTGATGATGATGAAGGTGGGTCTTAGAGGTAAAAGATTTTCCACATTCATTGCATTTATAAGGCTTTTCTCCTGTATGAAGTCTCTGATGATGAGAAAGGGCAGAGCTTTGGGTAAAAGATATCCCACATTCACTGCATTTATAAGGCTTTTCTCCAGTGTGAACTCTCTGATGTTGATGAAGGATGTTCTTAGAGGTAAAAGATTTCCCACATTCACTGCATTGATAAGGCTTTTCTCCAGTGTGAACTCTCTGATGATATTGGAGACCACTGATACTTTTAAAACATTTTCCACATTCACTGCATTTATAAGGCTTTTCTCCCGTATGAACTCCCTGATGATAACGAAGTGCATTGCTCCGGGCAAAAGATTTTCCACATTCACTGCATTTATAAGGCTTTTCTCCAGTGTGAATACGCTGATGACAATGAAGGTCTCTAGTAGTGGTAAAAGATTTTCCACACTCACTGCATTTATAAGGCTTTTCTCCAGTGTGACCTCTCTGTTGATAATGAAAGCTAGAAAATTTGGTGAAATAAATTCCACATTCAGAGCACATACAACACCCACTTCCAAGATGGACACCTTTTTCCTGAATAAATGTGTGGGTGCAACTAATGTCTCTCTTACATTCTTTTCTACTGTAATAATTTTTTCTCCTTTTAAACGAAATCCCACACGTGGAAATTGCGGTTGGACTGTCCTTGGTCTGAGTAGCCTTTAGGTGGAGATGTCCTGACCCCGTAAGGACACCCTGCCCAACCTCCGCGCATGTGCAACGATTCTGGGACACATTGAAATTGCAGCTGCTTACAAGTGAGATCCTGTCCACACCTCTAGTGAAAGACTTCTCTCTCACATGTTCCTGGTGAAATTTTGCACGGAAATAAAATTGTTTTGCACACGCCCCACACCTCAACAGTATCTGTCCGTGTTGTGTTCCCTGCAGCTCCATCACGTGGAAAATGTTTCCCAAGACTAGCCCACAACTCTCACAGGGGTGACTCTTCTGGGAAGACAAGGCTACCTTGGGATTCCTTGCCTGTGACAATCTTACAGAAACCTTCTGTTCAGTCGTTGCCTCCATATTCTCTGCTCCACAGCAGCAACCTGAAGAAAAGAAACGTAGCAAAAGTGCATGTTGACCTGATAAAAACAGAATATCTTCACCTCAATTGTTATGTCACAACTGGACATGATTCCATACAATCATTTTCAAGACAAGTAAGTCAGCCTCTCAGGAAATGGCTGTTATATATAACATGGCCCAAAAGGTCACTGGATGAGGAAAATCTCACCAAGGGAGGACAGAAGCATAGGCTGGCACAAAAAGAAGAGAGGCAGGGTCTGCTCGTTATTACACCACAAATGGCTTCCTAAGGACCTTTCATGCTGGCGATATGAGTCTGTGTAAAATAATTTCAATGTGCTCAAACACATAAAATATCAATCATAGGAAAGTATGTGATGTTCAGCGTCAATATAATATGTGTGCACTCTAAAGCTCTGCAGGCATGCAACAGCATTGGAGTGCAGTAAAGCGAGATGTGTGAAACAGGTAGAAGTGCAAAGTTGAAAGAGGTTAAGGTTATCCATGGGCTGGGAATCCAAGTAGAATGATCACTATTAAAACTGAGTCATAGGCAAAGTTTCAACCTTAAGCAAGAAGAAGTAGAACTGGGTGAGGAGTGGGCAATGGTAACAAAACATTTTTGTTGTTGAACAAAATGGCTTCCTAGTTATGAACCTAAAAGAGCCCAGGCATGAAAACCACCCTGAAAGTCCTTCACCAAGGCAAGACTGCCTCTGGGTCTACCCTGTCATTGATAAAGTCATCTTTCTCCTGTGACGCACAAAAGATTTTGCCTCTTAAATCCAAGTTGAGCCACAGCATGAGATAAATGATGCAAATCTTATAAGAAAACCTAAAAACGAGGTATGGTCAGCACTGTGGTAGAAGAACAAACCACAAATGGGATCACAGGCAAAAGACCTATGTGAGTGACATCAGCAAGATGGCAGAATCAGAGATAGAGAATCTTTCCCCATCCCAGAGTAAGCAGACAGCTATCCATGAAAAAAAATCCCACAGGAAATGGGAATAAGAGTACCATGAAGACAAACAGTAATACAGAATACCAAATAAGGACAACTGCATAGAAAGGATGACAGAAAACTGGGTGAGCAAACACATTTGAAGATACCTAAGGTCAAAAACAAGGGTTAATAATAAATAAATAAATACAGCAAGGGTCAGCCCTAGCTGGTTTGCTCAGTGGATAGAATGTCAGCCTGCGGACTGAAAGGTCCAAGGTTCCATTCCACTCAAGGGCACATTCCCAGTTTGTTGTGGGTTCAGTCCCCAGTAGGGGGCATGCAGGAGGGAGCTGATCAGTGACACTTACTCATCATTAATGTTTCTCTCTCTCACTCTCTCCCCCCCTTCCTCTCAGAAATTAATAAAAATATATATTTTTAAAAAGAGGGTTAGCCCTAGCCGGTTGGGCTCAGTGGATAGAGCATCCGCTTGTGGACTGAAGGGTCCCAGGTTCGATTCAGGTCAAGGGCGCATGACTGGGTTATGGGCTCGGACCCAGCTGTGGGGAATGCAGGAGGCAGCCAATTAATGATTCTCTCTCATCACTGATGTTTCTATCTCTCTCTCCCTCCTTCTTGCTGTCTGAAATCAATAAAAATATATTGTAAATAAAAAATAAAAATAAAGGGTCAGCGATACCACTATGAGCCACGGTGCTTCTGTTCTCATTGATCCTAGTGGCCTGTTCTCCAAAAACCCGGAAATTTTTGTTTCAAAAAACCACACAATGCCCTGGCCAGTGTGACTCAATTGGTTGGAGCAGCGTCCTGTGTATTGAAGGGTCTAGGGTTCAATTCCCAGTTAGGGCACATATCAGAATGTGGGTTCCATACCCGGTTTTCAACTATGCACATGGCAGCCGATTGATGTTTCTCCCTCATTTCTCTGTCCCCATTTCCCTTCCTCTCTAAGTAAAAGAAATAATAAAGAAAGACATAAGAATTTCAGGCTAGCCAAAAACAAAAGAGATCTCAAAAAGTCTAGAGGCAAAGTAAATAACAAGACAACCTACCAAAGCTTATGTATAACATTCAGAAAATGAAGCCCTAACTGGTTTGGTTCAGTGGATAGAGCGTTGGCTTGAGAGGACTGAAGGGTCCCAGGTTAAATTCCAGTCAAGCGCATATACCGTGGTTGTGCAGGAGGCATCAGAATCGATGTTTCTCAATCATCGATGTTTCTCTCTATCCCTCTCTCTCGCTTCCTCTGTGTAAAAAATCAATAAAATATATTTTAAAAAAGAAAAGAAAGAAAATGTAATTCAAAGGAGAAATTTTATAGAGATAAATGCCTACATTGTCACAAAAGATCTCAAAGAACCTAACATGGCACCTCAGGAAACTAGAAACACAACAGGAAAGTAAACCAAAGGTTTCAAAGGAAAGAAACCATAAATATTAGAACAAACATAAATAAAAAAGAGTCAAGACAAAAGAAAGTAATACCTAAAAGGTATATTTTAAAAAAAGATATAAAAATGTGCAAGCCGTTAGCTACACTAAAGCAAAAACAAACAGAACCCAAATCTCAAATAAGTAAAAAAAAAATAATAAAAGATAAGACATTACACCTGTCACTATGAACCACAATGCATCATAAGAGATGTTGATGTTAGGAGACGACATGACCCTCCATAGAGAAATTTCTCAAGATCCCACTATGAGCTCCTGAAATTAATAAACAAACTAGAAACACAACAGGAAAGTAAACCAAAGGTTTCAAAGGAAAGAAACCATAAATATTAGAACAAACATAAATAACAGAGAAACAAGACAAAAGAAAGGAATACCTAAAAGGTATATTTAAAAAAAAAGATATAGCCCTAACCAGTTTGGCTCAGTGGATAGATCATCGGCCTGTGGACTCAAGGGTCCCGGGTTCGATTCCGGTCAAGGGCATGTACCTTCGTTGCGGGCACATCCCTTGTGGGGAGTGTGCAGGAGGCAGCTGATTGATGTTTCTCTCTCATCGATGTTTCTGACTATCCCTCTCCCTTCCTCTCTGTAAAAAAACAATGAAATATATTTTAAAAAAAGATATAAAAATGTGCAAGCCATTAGCTACACTAAAGCAAAAGCAAACAAACAAAAACCAAGCCTCAAATAAGTAAAAAAAAGAAATTAAAGATAAGACATTACACCTGTCACTATGAACCACAAAGCATCATAAGAGATGTTGATCTTAGGAGACGACATGACCCTCCAAAGAGAAATTTCTCAAGATCCCACTATGAGTTCCTGAAATTAATAAACAAGTTCAGAATCCTGTCCTGGTGGCTCAGTTTTTCAGAGTGTGGCCCTGATGCCCCAAGGTTGTGGATTTGATCCCCCATCAGGGCACATGTAGGGGACAACCAATGAATGCATAGATGGGTAGAACAGCACATCAATGCCTCACTCTCTTTTCTCTCTCTCCTTTCCTGTCTTTAAAATCAATAAATAAATGCTGCCCGGTATGTCTCACTGATTGAGCATTGACTCATGAACTAGTACAGGGGTGGGCAACCCCTGCAGGGTGGGCAACCCCTGGCACACGTGCCAAACATGGCACGCCAGTAACTTTTGCTGGCACGCAAAACCCTCTCTTACAATCTTCCATTTACAATTTTTTTGAACATTTGAATGACTTAAATGTTAAATTACAAGGAACTGGCAAGATACTTGAAGTTATGTTTGGTTACATAAAGGCTTTTGAAAAGAAACTGGAAGTTTTAAAAAGGGATGTGGATGGTGAGAGATTTAGATATTTCCCAAACCTCAAGAGGCACATCAAAACCCTCCCAAAGATGACAGAACGGACTGTCAAAGCCTTCAAAAGCTGTTTTTAAACATCATCGAGTCAACTATTGAGCAGTTCCTCTCAAGATTTGCAAAATTCAGAGAACTGGAAGAGACAGCAAAATTCATGAGGTTTCCAGACAGCATGAAACTGGA